TTATGTCCATGTTCTATAATGGAGTAAATATGTTGTATTAATAAAGGAAATCAAATTGCTAGTAAATTTTATAAAAGTGTGTATGTTCTAGTAAGTATTACTATGGATTTCATAATTTACTCCAAGAAAGGAAACTATATTTTTTTTTATTATACAATGAACTTATTATAGTTAAGAAAAAAAATTAAACACATATATCTATATATATGTTTTAAACTACAAGTTTATTCTTTAAATAGGATTTTAAAATAAACTTCTTTCCTAAGCGTGCGTTTTCTAGGTTCTCAATGGCCAAGGGATACTTAGGAAATACCCGGCTAGGGAGGGGTTTTACATTTTTGTTTAAAAATAGTATTTAAAAATGCGAAAAACGAAAAAGCATTTAATATTTTTGTTTGAAAATATTAGAAAAGAAAAAAAATACAAAATTTATCACTTACACAACCTATAGAATCCCTTCAAATTACCATTTATTTTATTTGTTTCGAAGAAATTATCTAAAATATATCCCCTTATTTTTATTTGCAATTTTGTTATTAAAATATTGATTTGAAACTGTAGTTTTTATTTTATCTTAAAAGTGAGAGAATATAAAGAGAAAAAAAAGAAAAAGAAAAATTGAATATTTTATTAGAATTTCTGGCTTCCTGATTCTAAATTATATGTTTTATGAAAATAAAAAAAAAAATGAAAACGGAAAATGATTTCAAAAAATGAAAACAACCTGCTAAGTAGAGTTGGAGTAGGTGTGAGTAGACCTGGCAAACACCCACCCGTACCCACAGGTAAACGGGTACTCGTACCCAACGGGCGGGTACGAGTAACACAGACCTCGACCCGTGGGAATTTGACCCGTACTCAGCTTGCCCGTGACGTTTGTGGGTGGACCGGGTACTACCCACGAACCTGCAATTTGAAATTAAAAAAAATAATAAATTAAATATTCTAAAAAGTAAAGCTAAAAACTAAAGAAAACAAAACCAAAACCCTAATCTAAGCGAAAACTTATCACCGAAAAAAGACAAAAAACGCAGCTCCACTCCCTCACTCTCACAGCGGCTCCACTCCCTCATTCTCTCACTTCTCTCACGGCAGCAGCAGCAGCAGCATAGCAGTCAACTCTCTTCTCTCACGGTAGTAGCAACACGGCAACAACATGTCTCTTCTCTCACGCAGTAGTAGGTCAATAGCACTGATCTCAGTCAGCTCTTTTCTCTCACGGCAACATCATGTCTCTTCTCTCACGCAACAACAGGTCAACAACACTGATCTCAGTCAGCTCTCTTCTCTCATGGCAGCAGCAACACGACAGCAGCAGCACGACAGCAGCAGGTCTCTTCTCTCAGGCAACAGCAGGTCAATACCATGCTCACAGCAGGCCAACATCAAGGATTATCCCAAGAGCCAGGACCCAGGTAACGAACTTAAATTTTATAATGGAGAAAATCACTTTTTGTTTTGAGTTCGAAGAACATTTGATGAATTTTAGAGAATAATTTCGTTGTTATTAGCAAAATTAATGTATTATGAGTAAAATTTAGGAGAATATTTGCGTTTTCATTGTGTATTTGTACTTGAATTTAACTTTGTTGGTAAACTGAGATTTGTCGATGAGAAAAAAAAGAAGGTTGATACTGTGAAATAAGGCTAGTGATGGTTGAATAATTGGAAATATTTAAGCTTGAGAATTGTGAATGGCATGAAATCCATCAAAAGTGAAGTGTGTCGAGCCTTGAACCAGTGAAACCTTCATTACATTTGACTCGCATTAATTAATTTCTTAAATTAACCAAGGTAAGAATTGCTAGTGATAGTGTTATTGAAGGTGTGTTTATTTTCTTTTGACTCAAATAATGATGATTCACAGCATATAACACATTATAATTTTTTTTTTTTTTTGGATAAATTGTTATGATTGGTTATTGGAGTTGAGGAGTGTTGATTATTGAGTTGGAAAAATCCAGTCATTTGGTAGGGCTGGTTTGCTTGTAAAATATATGAGAGTGTTTTTTTTTTTTGGACGAATTGTTATGAATTATGATTGGTTAATTAATTTAAATGTAAATACTTTGTTGTGTCTTTTAGATTGGCTTGGTATAGAGGAGTCTACAGATTTAGGAATGGGTCGTAATGTAGTCGTAGGTCAACTTCCTTCTACTGGTAGTACTGTTTGTCCAAAAAGACGTAAAGTTTCAGATGTTTGGGGTCAATTTACAACATATATAGAAGACAATGGGGAGGTGAGGGCAAAGTGTATGATTTGTAGTAAGTCTTATGCACATGGTAGTTCCAGTCATGAGACTAAGAATTTGAGGCGCCATATGGAAGGTTGTCCTAAACGTACCATTACTAATAGTGTAGATCAAATGATGATGGATTGTGATACTAAATTGAGATGTTTGAAGATTTCTCAAGAAATTTATCGTGAGAAGTTGTCAATATGATTCATATAACATAATTACCCATATTCAATAGTGGAGCATGAAGGAATTAGGGATGTCCACATGTATTTGAATCATGAAGTTAAGCATTATACTAGGAACACCGCTAAGGCAAATTGCTTAAAGATATATTACAGGGAGAAGGAAAATATTAAGCTTGCTTTAGAGAGGGTTTCGGGTAGAATATGCTTGACTATTGATATTTGGAGTTCTTGTACTACTGATGGGTATATTTCTTTAACGGCTCACTATGTTGATGAGAATTGGGAGTTGCAAAATAGAATTCTTAATTTTTGCCATATTCCTCCTCCACACTCGGGGACTCTTTTGTCAGACATAGTGTATGATTTCTTAAAAGATTGGGGGATTGAAAAGAAAGTCTTCTCTCTTACATTAGACAATGCAAGTAACAATGATAAAATGGAAGACATTTTAAGGAGTCAACTTTATGTGCAAAATGCTTTATTATGTGATGGTTCTTTTTTTCATGTGCGATATTGTGCACATATCTTGAATCTCATAGTCCAGGAAAGGTTAAAGGTGAGTAGTGTGAAATATGTTAAAGGAAGTAAGGCTAAAAGAATCAAGTTTGGAGAACTTGTTAAAAAAATTGGTGTGATAAGCTCAAAAGGATTGCGAATGGATGTTCCCACGAGATGGAATTCCGCTTATTTAATGCTTGAAAGTGCGTTAATATACCGTCGTGTGTTTGTTCATTTGGCACTGATAGATCCCAATTATAAAAGTTGTCCTTAAGATGAAGAATGGGATATAGGGTGAGGATTTGCAAGTTCTTCCAACCATTTTATGAGATCACTACTCTTTTTTCAGGTTCCCAATACCCCACAGCAAACTTATACCTCAAAAATGTGTGGAGAGTTCAAGAGCGTTTACATGAAGAGATGGAAAATAAGGATGAAGTTCTTAGTACCATGGCAAGTCAAATGAAAGGAAAGTTTGACAAATATTGGGATTGTTATAATGTTGTGTTAGCAATTGCAGCAATTCTAGACCCACGTTTTAAGTTTGAGTTTGTTGAGTTTTGTTACAAAAAAGTTGATGGCCCAGTAGTTGCAACAAGAAAGTTGGAGTTGGTCAAATAGGAGTTGTATAGGCTTTTTGCTGCTTATGAAGATCCAAGTGGCAATGAGGTTCCCAGCAATCCTTGCGTACAGGCTAGTAATCCTAATATCATTGGAGACGATATTTGTGTAAGTCAATACTCCCTAAATATTTTTATATTCTTGTGATAAATAAGGTTTTCTTTATTTTGTAATTTTGCTTTATTAAATTTAAATATTTAAATGGTGCAAGAATTTGACTACTACAAGAGTGACTTTAATGCTACTAAGAAGTCCGAATTGGATACTTATTTGGGAGAGGCAAGGTTTAATCGCATCAAATTTTACAATTTGGATATCCTGGACCATTGGAAGAAAAATAGTGATCGATACCTGATACTTTCGATGATGGCCCGTGATGTGATGAGTATACCAATAACGACTGTTGCTTCGGAGTCCAGTTTCAGTGTTGGTAGCAATGTACTCAGTAAATATCGAAGTTCACTTTTACAGGAGAATGCAGAGTCTTTGATATGCACTAGGACATGGATTTCTGGATATGAAGTTAAAGGTAATATTTTAACTTATATTTCACATGTTTTAATATTTTTGTTTGTTAATATATTACGATAGTTAACTTATATTTTGTTAATTATAGAAGATGAAATTGATAATGCTTAACTGCTTGTGCCATTAAGCCAAGTGCCAGCGGAGAAGGAGATTGCATAATCAAGGGCGGCTCCTAACGCCGTCAATGTGTAATAGACTTTGTTTGTTTATTGTGTTTGATTAAATAATTCTATATGTTTAATTGTTTAGTGTTTACTATGTTATGTATGTTGAATGTTAAACAATTTTATATGTTTAGTGTTTACTAATTAGTAATTGCTATGTATGTTCAGTGTTTAGTGTTTACTAATTCCATATGGTGAAGTTTGAAATAAATATGAAAAATATTAATATTGAATTAATAATGTTTGGTGAAATCTAATCAAATTTAATTTAATCATCTATTTATTTAATATAATAAGTTAATAACCAACAAACTTAATAAATGAATTTTATATCAAGTTTTTAAATCAATTCAATTTAGTATGCAATTTGAAATTTTGAACAACAAAAAATAGTAAAAAATAACAAAAATATGGAAAATACAAAAAATACCATTTTTTCACGGGTGACCTATACCCGCACGGTACGGGTCATGTATATGTCGACCATTCAGAATATTTTACCCACGAACACATGACGTGTTTCACCCGCGACCCGTTGTTACCCGGTCCATACCCGCCCGTTTGCCAGGTCTAGGTGTGAGATAAGCGTAAACAGAAGTAACCGTTGGAAGAAGAAGTACACTGATTCTGAAATTAAAGCCTGCCAAAAAGTGATCGTTAGTGGCCCCCACCATCTACAAACTGCCAATCACAGCCGTCAATTTATACATTTCATTTGAGTTTGACTCACCCAACCTTTAATATATTTTTTTCGTTGCCGTTTCCATCTTCTCCAGTCAACAAAACAACACGCAAAGCAACAAGTGATCTGTTCCTCAGTTTTTCATTTTCATCTCACCACGTGTTTTCTTTATTTTTTGATTCAGCCCCAGAACGTGTTTCTTTTTTGTGTTTACTTTAGGTTTTGATTCAGCCCCAGAAGCCGTAAGCATTCATACTTCCCTTTAACAGCCGAATAAACAAACTTCCAAAGGTCAAACATACAGAGAATCCACCCAAGTAAGTTCTTTCTGATGTTTGTGTTTTATTTTGATGATTTTTAGTAGAAAAATGATTTGATTCTGAGGTGGGGTTTTTTTTTTTTTTTTAAATTCTTTTTAAGTGTATCCAAAGGTGAAGGTGAGAGAAGACAGAGACGAAGATCATCAACGTGATGTTGCAGTTGATCATGAGATGTTTCAGTCTCTCTTCATACGTGTTTCTTCTTCTTCTTCTTCTCCAGGTATTATTTTTATTTTTCAAATAATCTTTTACGTTTTGAATCATATGTGAAGCCTGATCATTTATTTTGGGTTTAATTATTTTGTGATTTATGTCTGGCATAAAGTTGCAAGATCACAGCTCTACTAAGTTGACACGTCCTCGTTCTAATTAAGATAGTAAATATATGAACAATAATTCCTTAGAATTTTTCATAATCGTTCTAATAGAGGAAGGGGATGGAGATAAATACAGGAAGAGGATAATTAAAGGAAATGAATAATCCAAATTCTTTAATTACAACACTAGATAAATTCATAGTCCCCAAACTTTCTGAAATAAATATGCATAGCAACATGCCAAAACAATTCTCTTTTTCAGCTCCCTGTTGTGCTCTTTGTGAAATGTTTGTTTATTGCATAATAATTCGCTATACTATCTGATATTTACAGTGAAAGAGCGTCAAGATGTTTTCCCACCGTCTGTTCCAAGAATTCAAAAGACACATGCGCTTAATGCAGTCACTGTCACACCCACTGTTTCTACCAGCAAAGGTTAAAATTTTACCTTCACAATTTTCTGTCGTAAATCCATTTATTGCTTTGTAAAGTCTGTTTCAGTTTTTCTATATTAACTCTGCTTAATTGACAGGAACAGAGAAGAATGATAGGAAGATTGACGAGAAGGATAGATCAAATATAAGACCCAGTTCTTCCACTTCAGTTCTGCGTCCACGTGCTGTGTTATCAAGTCCTGGTAATTTCCAAGTCTGTGCTTGTGGTTAACCATGACCTCATTCCTCATTTTGTTGAATTCTCTACCTGTTGAAGATAAAATTATAGAGTTACCACTTGGTTTGGTAAATTGTTTTATAAAACTCATGTTAGATTATGTCTGCACTCTGCTTCCGAAGCTCAAGAAAATTTCATAGTAACTTCTTTAATCATCCTTTGGATGACTTTTGTGAAGTGGGTTCCAGGAAGTAGGTTCTTTCAATACAAGTAAACTACATGCTTTAATGGTTTGAGTTTTGGATGGACAGAAAAATTTGAGAAACTTGATGGAATATGAAAACATTGTATTTGTAGTTGAACTGCTACACAATTAGGTTATATTGTATCTGGTGTAAACTGAACATGTTTTTTTTTGGGTATGTTTTCATCAAAAATCTACTGGCTTTATCTTATTCACCTCTAACTCTTGGCAATTGGTATTTTTGTATTTTTAGATAATGATGCGATGATAGGAAATAAGAACAAGATTGGAGCAAATCAATCAAGAGTTCTGAGGAATCATAATTTTAATCAACATAGACATGTGAATGCGCAATGTAAAGTTAATCCAAGCACCAAAAGTCAAAAGCACACAAAATTGTCTAATGATGCTGCTGATAATAAGAGTGATCTTAAAGGAAAGAAGGGTTCAGTGACGACGGCAGTTGCAACTCAGAGAAGAAGCCTTAGATCTGGAAAATCTAGCTCTGTGAAAACTTGAGTGTGATGTTTTTATATGTTATTGGATCAGTTTTCAGACTTGAGAGGATCGCCTTGGAGTGTTTTTTCATTTTCTTTTTCCACTTCTGGAAAAAGTAACTGTCCATATAAACCACACTTTTAAGATTATACAATGCTTATGTTTCTCGATGATGCAAATCTAATAAGTATTCTATTTTTAAGAGACTATAACAAATACTGAAAGTGGGGAACCAGAGGAAAAAGAACGAAATCATTTTACTTACTGATATTAACCATCCTATGAAAATACAGAATGGGAAGTTTAATGCAGAGTGGGTGGTCGACACTACTCAACTGATCTTGTCCTTGCAATTCAAGGCTGGATGGAAATCCTTGTAACATTGTAGCCTCTTGCAGCTGGTGGACAATTTGACTCCAGAAAAAACTAAAGAGGTTAAGATTTTGCCATGGCATCTGACTATAGTTTCTTTTGCACATAAACTCACAGCTAGTTTACTGCCTTCAAACTTGAGCAATATGCAAGTCCATCTTTGATAGGTTACTGAACAACAAAGCCAAAATTCTTTTTTGTCGACCTGTGATTGTTACTGTCACTTGTTCTCATGATAAGAATAAACTTTCTACAATCTTCCAGTACCTTCATTCTACAGCGGGCGGCTTTACCCAGGGTCCTAACCATATGCATCAGGACCCCTCAGCCTTCAATTGACTTGAGCTCTAGCTGTTCCCCTTTTTGGGTCATTGCATTCAATATGAAGTCAGCAATTTATCCCACCCATAACATTCGATCAAAGGAAATTTGTGTTAACTCAATAGTAGCAGTAATGGGTTTTAAAATTTCTTTCTCTATCTGCATATGCAGTAAGTGCAAAAGACGCCAGATTCTAAGGAACTCAGGGTGTGAACTATCTCCTGAAAGAAATATGTGCCCACTATTATTTATCTCAATCCAACTACAACCTGGTTGTTTCTTGACACCATTCTTCTTCATTCGAGCCAGGATCCTCTCAGCATCTTCTCTTCTTCCACTACTAAGAAACATTTTTGCCAAAATTAAATAAACACCAGAGTTATGAGGCTCCACTTCCAAAATCTTCTCACCAGCAATCTCACCCATCTTGATGTTCTTGTGGATTCTACAAGCTCCGAGCAAAGATCCCCAGACGCTTGGAGGCACTTCAATTCCATCTGCTCTCATTTGATTTAAAAAGCTCATTGCCTCATCTATAAGTCCAAATCTCCCCAGCAAATCAACAACACAAGTATAATGTTCACTTGTTGGCTGAAGAAAGCACTTATATTTCATATAATCAAAGTAGTATTTACCTTGGTCCACCAATCCTGCATAACTACAAGCAGACAGAACTCCAACAAAGGTTATGTCATTGGGTGTAATATCCGTTAACATCATTTTTTCAAACATCTCAAGAGCATTTTCACCATCTCCATGGTGAGCAAACCCACAAATTATAGAATTCCAAGAAATGACATCCTGGGTTGGCATGGAAGAGAATTCCAGCAAAGCTGATTGCATGTTTCCACATCTTGCATACATGGTTACCATCGCATTAGAAACCGAAGTTAATTGATTTAAACCTGTTCTAGTTGCCTGCGCATGGATTTGTTTTCCAAGATTTAAGGTTGGCAAGTCCGAACAGATTGTCAAAACACTGGTAAATGTAGCTTCGTCAGGAGATGGACCTGATTCTTTCATTCTGATGAAAAACTTCAAACCTTCCTCCCCATGATCATTTTCTCCAAGTCCAAATATCATAACATTCCACACAGTTGCATCCCGATCTGTCATCAACTCAAATACCTTAAAAGCACTCTCAATCTCACTGATCTCAAAATAACCAACAACTACATTTGTCCATGATACTATGCTACTATAGGGATATTTCTCAAGAAATGCATGAGCTTCCTTGACAAGTCCATTTCTTATGAAACCCAAAATAATTGAGTTCCACGCCTTTTGACATTTTTCTGGCATTTCCATGAAAATCCTAATTGCATCATTAATTCTTCGACTGTTCACCAATCTATTTATCAACTGCTTCCAAGAATTTAAATCACAGACAGGCATTCTTCGAAGCAAATTTTCTGCCATGTCAACACATCCATTTTCCACATAACCAGCTATCATCACATTCCAAGCTTGAATATCCTTTACAGGCATTTCTTCAAAGAGTTTGCGAGCTTCAGCAATTCGTCCTGCTCTTACAAGTCCAGACACCATAATTGTCCAAGAAACAACATCTCTAGCACCCATCTCTTTAAAATACAATTCAGCCATATCAATTCTTTCAGAATTCACAAGTCCCCCAATCACCAAATTCCAAGAAACCACATCCCTTACTGGCATATCACGAAAAGCCCTCATTGCTTCATCAATCAAACCATTACGTACATACCCAGAAATCATCGAATTCCACGTCACAACATTTCTAACCACCATTCCACCAAAAACCTCTTTTGCACCATCAACATTCCCACTCTGCATCAACCCTGAAATCATAGTATTATATGAAAAAGCATCACGTTCAGGCATTTGGTTAAATAAACACATAGCTTTATCGAACAACCCATTTTGAAAGTACCCACGAATCATTGCATTCCATGTGACGGTATTTCTCTGGGGCATTTTATCGAACAGGTTTTCAGCATCTATTATACGGGCGCTCCTCATGAGGTTTGAGAGTTTTGAGTTGATGGGTTTTAGGTTTAGAGGTGCGAAGAGCGTAGAGAGAGAGAGTTGTCTGGTGCGCGTTAAAGAGAGGGTTATGGTGAGTCTGAGGATTGAACGAGTATAGAAGAACATCACACTCTTACACCATCAACTTAAACACCACGCTATTATTATTGTGGTTTTGGATGCTGCGCGCGTTTTGTCTGTGTGTGTTTTGTTTTGTTTTGTTTTTTAATAAATTATAATAATTCTGGAATTTGGTGAATCTTATATTTGGTGTAAAATTATGATGAATAAGTGCATTTAAATATTTTCCTCTTTCGCAGATAATATTACTTATTAAACTGTTACAATTTACGAGCAATAGTATTCGTCTTTATATTATAATTTCTAAATATGATAATGTGAATAAACAGTACATATATATATACCACCCTCAAAACTATTTTTAGGTGATCGTCTAGTTCGATAGAGACTTTTGGGTATATTATTCAAGAAGTCTTGAGTTCGAGTCCATAGTTGTCAAATTATGTATCGTATCGTGTATCGAAAACCTAGGGTGCATTTGGTTTATTATTTTGGGTAGGATTTTGGGGATAGTATTGGATAATTGAATATGGGAGTATTATGAGGTAAAATTTAAAAATTTATAGAAAAACCCCCTAAGTTTGCTAATTTCATAAATACCCCAACATGTAAATTGACAAAAATACCCCCACCACCTGCAGTGCCAGATTCTGGCCACCACCGCCGGAATCTGGCCGAAAAATCGTGTTATGACACAGACCGGTCGGATCTGTGTCGTAACGAGTCGTTATGGCCTTTTTCCGGCCAGATCCATCACAGATCTGGTCGGAAAAGGCCAGATCTACGGCCTGCCGTGGTCGTCGACAGCCGAAAAAGGCCAAAACGACTGCCATCTTTGGCCGTCAGCGACGGCCAAAGATATGGCCGTCGTTTTCGGTCAACGATGGCCAAGATTTGGCCGTCGTTCACGGCCAGATCTGGCATTTTTTGGCCAAATCCGTGGTGGATCTGGCTGGAAAAGGCCAGATCGGTGAACTTCCGGCCATTTATGGTCGGCAGGTTGGCCGTTGTATAGGAATCTGGCGAATATGGGTTGCGGGGGTGTTTTTGATAATTTTTAAACTTTTTTTAGGGTGTATTTGATGAAATTAATAACCTTATGGGGTTTAAAAGTAATTAAAAAAATAGGGTAATATTATTGGAATAATGTGTCAAACATTATTTGGAGAATAGGATCCAGAATCTGGATAAAAATAATAAGCCAAACACATACCTAATTTTTTGAATTGTGTATCACGTATTATATTATATCGTAGGATGCGCCTTTTTCAAAAAAATTAATAAAATAATAATTTTTTTTTCTAAAAATTAATATTATCCCCAAGATTAATTAAAGAATTTTGTGGTATTATTGGCTTAGTATTTTTATCCATATTCTGGATCATATTCTCCAAATAATGTTTGGCACATTATTCCAGAAATATTACCCTATTTTTTTAATTACTTTTAGACCCCATAAGGTTATTAATTTCGCTAAATACCCCCTGAAAAAAGTTTAAAATTTAACAAAAACACCCCCATCAACCCAACTTGTCAGATTCCGGCAACCACCATCGGTGATAGCCGGAATCCGTACAACGGCCTAACTTCCGACCAAAAATGGCCGAAAGTTCACCGATCTGGCCTTTTCCGGCCAGATCCACCACGGACCTGGCCAGAAAAGGCCAGATCTGGCCGTCGTTGACCGAAAACGACGGCCACAAGATGACCGTCGTTTGGCCTTTTCCGGCCGTCGATGACCATAACAGACCTTAGATCTGGCCGGAAAAGGCCATAACGACGTGTTACGACACATATCCGACCGGTCTGTGCCGTAACGAAATTTTCCGGCCAGATTCCGGTGGTGGTGGTCGGAATCTGGCACGAAAAACTCTGGGGGTGTTTTTATCATTTTACATATTAGGGTCTTTAATGAAATTAGTAAACCTAAGGGTTTTTTCATAAATTTTTAAAATTTACCTCATAATACTCCCCTATCCAACAACCTAATACTATCCCCAAAATCCTATCCAAAATAATAAACCAAACGCACCCTATATCATTTTCTCTCAATTATTCATATCATTTCTAATATCAATATCAATATATCTCCACTTGTATTATTATCATCATGCAAAACAGGCAACACATGTTCTTTTTCACTTTCTCCATGCAAAATGGGTAAATTTGAGCAAGTTTTAGTGAACTGGATTAGGTGACATGGATTCAACCCGAATTTTTTTTGGGCCTCAAGCCCAATTTAATAAAGTCGTATTGATATTTTTAAGGATACGAACAGATATGTATCGTATCGTCAAATATATATCAACATATTGAAAGGTTTAGGATACACTCTCTAATACATATCGTTGGCGATTCTTTTTGAATCGTATCGTAGGATACGTATCGCGTATCGTAGGATACTAATAATCATATTCAAGTTTATCTTTGGGTGCTAATAGGGATAACCACTGAAGATCTTATCTAGTTAATAGTTTCAAAGTCTTGAAAAATTAGTTGAAGTGCATGTAAATTGACCTGGATACATCCCATCATAAATTAAAAAAAAAAAAATTACCAACCTCAAACATGAACAAAAATGTAACATAAAGTTATAGTTTAATGAATTCTTGTGCATGTTTGTATACTACTAGAAAAACCTAAATACAACGACCTCAAACCCGATGTTGAGTGTCGTGTATTAATAGAATTTATCAATGACCACCGGTGGCGTTGGGGCATCATTTTGTTGACCAAGATGTTACAACAACTTTCCAGCGTATCGTCTTGTGTTGGAAAACAGTTACGTCGACCTGGTGTCGATCCTATGTGGCTGTATCCCGTGTTTCTAGTGATAGTGTTTTTTTTCTTAAAATTTAGCATCATCTAATAATATAAAACAAAAATTTAGATATAATATTTCAGATAAAAGAACAGTAAAAAATTATTAATAGTTGTTATCATTTGAATTTAGATTATATNACTAGAAAAACCTAAATACAACGACCTCAAACCCGATGTTGAGTGTCGTGTATTAATAGAATTTATCAATGACCACCGGTGGCGTTGGGGCATCATTTTGTTGACCAAGATGTTACAACGACTTTCCAGCGTATTGTCTTGTGTTGGAAAACAGTTACGTCGACCTGGTGTCGATCCTATGTGGCTGTATCCCGTGTTTCTAGTGGTAGTGTTTTTTTTTCTAAAAATTTTGCATCATCTGATAATATAAAACAAAAATTTAGATATAATATTTCAGATAAAAAAAAAAAAGTAAAAAATTATGTTTAATAGTTGTTATCATTTGAATTTAGATTATATGTAAGTAAGAAAATTGGAGGGAGAGAAAGGTAAAGTGGAGGAGATGAAGTGTGATCCACAGTGAACTCACCACCTTATCCACATTCTTATTGGTTACAATTTTCCCACATCACAATTCCCATCTTCTAATTTTCCTTCACTGATCTTCTCTGACATCTGATTTTTTAACCAACTTTCAACTCCACCAACCACCACCACCACCACCACCACCACCACCATGGCTGCCGCCGCCGCTGCCGCCATAAGCTCCTCTTTCTCCTCATCCATGCACATGCACACTACTCTCAAGTGCATGCGTTCTGATCACCTTAAACTTTCTCCACCACCTCGCATTTTACCCTCCATTTCACTTTCTTCCCACGCCATTGACCACGTCACCATAGGAGCTTTACCCCACAAGTGGCCGCGTGCCCTCAAGATATCTGCTGCTGTGGCTGAAGAGGAGGCTGCCGCTGCAACTGCCACTGAAGAACCAGGGCTCGTGGAAGAGGAAGAAGAAGTTACGGAAGTAGAAGGAGATGGAGAGGCTGAGGTTCAGACCGAGACTGAGAATCTGACCGAGACTCAGAGTACTGTGACTCCTATTAACACTAAGCTTTATTTTGGGAACTTGCCTTATAATGTTGACAGTGCTCAGCTGGCTGCGATAATACAAGATTACGGAAGTCCAGAGCTTGTTGAGGTTAGTGCCACAATCAACTTGTCTTTGCTGATCCAAAACATGAAAAGAAATGAATCAGTAAATTATATTATTGTTTGTCTGTTTAAGATTATTGTTACTGGGTGGATCTAATTAAACTATTAATTGAACACTGTAAATGCTTCATGCAGCAAAACTGGTTATTTTGGGGCATCATTTCACACACAAGATTCAAATAGTTGTTGTAGGCAGATAGAAATGCTATCTATAACATCTTGATTAAGCAATATTGCAAGTAAGCTTGATTATGGAATTTAACTGCATGATTTGCCAATATTGTTTCTGGGAAAATTCACCAAATGGCTAAAAAAGAGCGAATTAATTCAAATGTTTGTTGAAAATCTTACGGCATATAATGGGCAAAGAGTAAAGTTTATATATATGAGGGGTCGTACGTTGAACTCATCTGAAAACTAGTTAAGTTAGGCTTTGATTGACAATTGCTTGTTAAGATTATGAATATGCTCAGCTCTGCTGGTCCACACCAACGGATGAAAGTATGAACGATGCAACTTGAGCTGGATAAAATAGCTCAATCTTCATCTGGCTGCAATCTACTTGAGTGTGAACATCTCAATGCCTAGCTTGGTTCTAAACTTCCATTCCATCTATTTTGTTTAAATTTCTTTTAATTTTAGTGATCGCTTCATTTCACCATGCTTTTCAGTTTTAGAAAACAGAAGATGGTTTTATAGTTCCTTTGTGTAAGTACGTGAATTTATACATACTACTTATGACTCCAAAGATTGATCGGTCTGATGAGGTGAAAGTCATCACATAGTTGATGACCTGAATTCCTCTTCTACTGAAAGAAAGTTCCTTAAAAGATCTTGGAAATTGAATATCGGAGGAATAATTGCAATGAGTATTGAAGAAGGATAGCTTCCTAACTGATTCCCAATTTCAGAATTATCAGAGGATCTGTAACTGGTGTTGCATAATATACTTACTAATCTCACTAAACATAGAAAGTTTCAATGCTCAAACCGGTTGGTAAAACTTCCTCAAGGTTGTAAACTTTATCCATTCTTTTTTACCAGTGTGAATTTGCATTGAAATTAAGTTTCATATTTACATCTGATATGTAATTTATCTATTTATTGATATAGTTCCTTTTAATATTTATATATGCAAATGGTTATAGGTGCTATACAATAGAGAAACTGGAAGAAGCAGAGGGTTTGCATTTGTGACAATGAGTACAATTGAAGATTGTAATGCAGTCATTGAAAACCTTGATGGGAGAGTAAGAAACTGGCCCTCTTTCTCTTTCTGTCTGAATTGAATGTGTATATCTTCAAAGCTTCAATACAGTTAGCTTGATAAATCAACATTTCTCTTTTTATCTTTCCTTGTTCTGTCACATTGATGCATATTCCTTCCTCTATTTTTACATAAAAGAATTTGATGCTTCAGGAATATTTGGGTCGAATCTTGAGGGTGAACTTTTCCGACAAACCAAGACCTAAATCACCTTTATATGCAGAAACCGATTACAAGCTTTTTGTTGGAAATTTATCCTGGTCAGTAACAACTGAAAGTTTGATCCAAGCTTTTCAAGGATATGGAAATGTGGTCGGAGCAAGAGTTCTGTATGATGGAGAGACGGGAAGGTCCCGTGGCTATGGCTTCGTATGCTATGCAACAAAAGAAGAGATGGATACTGCCCTGGAATCTCTTGATGGAGTGGTATTTAATTTTCTGATTCCCCTCCCTCAACTCTGTCTGGTTTGTGTACATTCATTGATTGATACATTTCAGATTCAATTACAAGAACATCACTCATTTATCACTTGTTCTTTTGGCCCTCAGGAATTACAAGGGCGAGCCATGCGAGTAAGCTTGGCTGAAGGAAGACGGTCGTAAGATCATCAAAATTTGAGTTTATAAAGGTTTGATGATGATCATCAGTCAGGTTCACAAATTAGAAGGATACATTATTTGCATATTGCAAATGCAGTCACTAGAGGGACCTGAAATTCCCTTTAATTTCATGTTCTCTCAACCCATTTTCCACTTGTGTATTTTACTAAGTGGAACTTGTGAAAATTTCATGGTTATCTCTACTAATTAAAGTAATATATGGTATGAAGCATCAACTTGCAATTCTTGTTATAAAGTGTTTTTACAAAATAATATTTTTAATAGATTTGAAAGAAAAAGAAAAAGTAATTGGCAGTGATCAATTGTTGTATGTAAAGCAGACATAAAATTATAGCTTATTACCTAAAAGATTTCTCAATTTTCTCTATAAAGCACTTGTTAAACTTTACATTTGTTGGGCAAAGGGCAAGCAAAAGCATACAGTTTTACACACACACACACACACATTATAAGAGCATTTTTCTATTGTTGGACTATTACTTCTGGTCGGATAGAGATTTTAGATATTATTTAAAAGTTATGAATTTGAACTCTCTTTGAATGCTATTAGGGTAGTTATTGAAGCTCTTATCCAACAGATAGTTTTACAGTATCTACAGATTAGTTAAAGTGTAAGTAGGGGTCCTAGACAGTAGACACTTCAATTATACAAAATATTGAGTTTTTTTAATTATTTAATTAAATATTTTAAACCAAAAAATATATTAAAAAAAGAAGGTGAACAGTACTCAAAGCGCAATTTAACACCAGCCAACGGTTAGCAAAAGTTCCTTTTCGCGTACTCTTTTTGCATCAATTGTGGTGACTTTTGAGTTTCGACGGCTAGAAATAAAAAAAAATAAATAAAAAAATAAAAAACAATAATCAAAATCGAAAAAGCTAAGAGAAAAAAGAAAAAAAAGAAAGTAAAAACCCTAAAAAAAAAAAAAAAAAAAAAAAAACCACAAACAAACAACAAAAACAACACAAAAGCAATCAGTGGAGAAGATCTTCTCACAAATCTATCTCTTAGTCTCTTCCCATATCCTTCCTTCTTATCCCAAACCCACTTCGCAAAATAGATTTATGTCTTGGTACATACCCTTTTCATCTAAAAATTTCATGTATGTCCCTAAACAATCGTACTGATAAAGGGTTTTTGTTGGTGGTGGTTTTTTACAGATTTGGATCTAGGGTTTTGTAGGGTTTAGCCTTTTTTTTTTTTGTTTGTCAAATGGCCACTCCATTTCCCATTCCAGTCACTGCTGCTCAGGTTTGCTTTGCTTTACTAATTGGGTTTTAGTTTTTTCTTGTTTTTGTTATCTGGGTTTGTTTGTTTGTTTTTTTAATGCAATTTTTTTTTGTTTTTTTTTTTTTTTTTGTGTAGGTGGGTACGTACTTTGTGGGGCAATACTATCAGGTACTACAGCAACAGCCTGACTATGTTCACCAGTTTTACAGTGATGCAAGTACTATGCTTCGTATTGATGGTAACAGTAGAGAGACAGCCACTGATATGATGGTATATTTTCAGTTCGTTTTCGTAACTGAAATGCAGAGAATTTTGTTAATTTTGTGCTATTCTATCAAGATAAGATGAATATTTTGGAGTTATTTGTTTTGCATTTTGGCTGTGTGGTAGATTAGGGCATGGAAATGAGGTTTAATTTGTTTGCTAAGTATTGGAATGCTATTGGGCTGTTTTCTTTTAATGATACTGAAAATTTTCATTCTCTTTTTTAATTTCAGTGTGAGAATTGATGAATTTCCACGAGTTTTAATGGTTAGTTCTTGTGGTAGAAAGTTGTTTGTTTCTAATATTGTTATATTATTAATTTGGGTTTGATGGTACTTATTTTTTTGTTCAATTTGTTTCTGTTGTGGTGTATTCTGTGAATTTAAGAATTTCCACTTCCATTGTATCACATTCAGCTGTGGATGAATGTGAGTTTTATTTCTTCGTGGCATGATTTTTGGAGAAAGAAGGATATTAGTTCACGAACCTTGTACCAAAGACCTTGGGCCTGTAGGCTTGATGTGAAGTGACTTCAAGAATAAGTTTTAGTTTCAAACCATACATTGAAGTTTAGACTGTCTTATGATTACTAGCACTTGTAAAACTGGTGTTCACATGATGTTCATATGGTTAGTTAAGTCTCTAAATATTTGGAATAAAATTTTGTTTTCTTCAGATTAGTAAGTACCTTATTGTTGTGTAGATTCAACTAATGATGCAATTGAATTCTATGTCTTATCTTTAATGATCTAGATATTTTATGTATTACTTTACATTTGCGATAATGCTATAGTTTTTTGGCATAGCAATCTCCTAAGACTTGAAGGCTTAATGTAGCAATGGTCCTTCTACAAAATTATAATGTGTAAAGAATAAGTTTATGATTAGTATGTTCTTTTTAAATATAGTATAGCCTACTAACTAGTGTATGGAGTATAATATTGGAGTAAGATGTTTTATGAATGTGATGCTCATTTGGTCTGAAACTCTGCTAATATGAACCAGAGAAGGAATTTACAGAATAGGATTGGGTTCATTTATTTTCTAATACTGAAAACTTGTATATATCTTTGTTTAGATTGCTTGAATGCATGATTACTCTGGGTGTACTATTTTTATTTAAACATTAGAACCATAACTTTTCTTTTTGTTTTATTTATTTATTTTAAGGAACTGTCTAGCTTATATAGTGCATGTCTTCATCTACAGAGACTATTTAATTGACACTTTTTGTTTGAGTTTTAGATTTAACATTCTTATTCATAATTACAAACTTTTATGATCGCAAAGGCATAGCATCTTGCAGTCTCTCTTATTAATTTCATTCCTTTATTTGCTAGTTTGGTTATCTATACAATGCACATATATTTTCAGTATATGTTAACTATTTTATATGCTTGTTTACTTGCCATTTTGTTGTTCTATTTGATAATGCCTCCTATGTGAAGGGCCATTTTGTGCCTTTATTTCAATATTTTCTTGCTAGAATTATTCAATTGTTTTCATACTCACCTTACTTTCTCTTTGTGTGTGTACTAAATGGAATAGTGAAATTTTTTTTTTTTTCTTTCATTTCTCTTTTTGGCAGCAAATACATCAATTCATTATGTCACTCAATTTTACTGGAATTGAAGTCAAGACAGCACATTCCCTAGAATCGTGGAATGGAGGTGTCCTTGTCATGGTTTCCGGTTCTGTGCAAGTAAAAGATTTCAATGGGAGGAGGAAATTTATGCAAACCTTTTTCCTTGCACCTCAGGAGAAAGGTTTTTTTGTTCTTAATGATATATTCCACTTCATTGAAGAGGAACCAATTCATCACCATCCAGCAATCTTCTTAGCCCAGAGCAATCTTGATTCCAAACTTAATGCTTCTGCAACAATCCCAGAACCAGGTACCTATATAACCTAATTGCCAAGTTCTAATAATTAAATCTTTTTTTCTCACAAATGTTAGGTTGAAAAATATGTTACTATGATATTTTTTTTTGAAAAAAATACTGTTGCTTTTGCAGTATCAAACTATTTAATGGGTGGTGAAATCCAGGCAAGGGAGTATGTGGCTCCTGTAGATGTCAAAGAAAATGGTCTAGTTGACAGTTACGGCTTCCAAGAGCAACGGTTACAGCAATTCGCTGAGTCTGAAAACATTCTGGAGGACAATTCTGCTGAAGAGTTCAATGGTTCACTTCAAAATACAGTTAATGCTGTACAAGATCATCTGCCTGCTTCTGTTGCTTCCGTTGAGGAACCTATTGGAGAGACCCAAAAGCACACTTATGCTTCTATTGTAATGACTAAATACTGGTTTTAATACTTTGGGTTTTTATTAATTTCTTTTATAAAACTTTATCTGTGTGACTAAATGTATATTGAATGAGAAATTTGTTCATATTATGTACTAACTTATTGTATGTTCTGTCTATCTCTTTCCCCTGTTGATCGATGTTGCTAGTTACGAATTGCTAAAGGACAATCTGCCCCTTCAGTTGCTTCTCAGCCTACTGTTAACAAGAATGTACCGCCTTCTTCTGATTGGAATCATATTCCTGAACCAACTGTTCAGCAAGTAACTGTATTGTCAAATGCGTATGAAAAGTCAGGAGTAGACACAGTGGAGGTTTCAGCCGTTGAAGATGAAGGTGATTTTTAAACTTCTCTAACTATAAATCTTCTTTGTGGTGTAGGTACTAGCAAAATTATATAAGAATCAATGACCTTCTCATAATTCGATAGAATGTGTTGTTACAATACTTGAAACTGTCTCTCTCTTCAATAATTATATATGTATATTGAAATATTAAAAAAAAGTCTATTTGCTTTAACTGCTTTTCAGCTTAAAAGAACAAAGCTACATTTATTTCAACTTTATATATCCTTAAATGCATTGTTTTTGTCATTTGATGAGATATGTATGTGGATAATTCAGAAGAGATAAAGTCTGTTTATGTGAGGAACTTGCCTCCAAATGTGTCTGAATCTGAAATTGCGGAGGAATTTAGAAAGTTCGGTGAACTCAGTTCTGAGGGCGTGGTAATCCGGAGTCGCAAGGTTCATTCCTGTGCCACACTTTCCTGTGTTGCAACACCTCTTTTCTTATGGGAATTGTCTTAAAGTATGTTGTTTTATTTGCAGGATGTTGGTGTCTGCTATGCGTTTGTTGAATTTGAAGATATATCTGGTGTTCACAATGCAGTCAAGGTCTGTATACATGTTGCAGCATCTTTGTTAGTCCTTTTTTTTTCTTCATAAATAGTTTACTAGGTCTATCAATTCCAAGATTGCAGCTAATATACTTTTAAATAAACATGCATTCTGATTTTTATATGCACCTGGAGATTCTTGAATTGTCCAAACATAGTAAGGAGTTTTTTAGTTCAAGATAAAGACTTTAAAATCCATAGGTACCTGGAGTGGGATTTTTAGACTTACTGTATATATACTATATCCTGTAGTTGCTTCTCTTGACTTTGCTGCTAGCTTATATGAACTCACACCATTTAAGAACTGCTTTTACTTCAGTAATTTTCCACTTTCATGCTAGCTTTTTTGGTCATCCCTTTCAATTTCTGGTTTCATCAGGCCATTCTTTAGCTGACTTGTCTATTGTGATTGTTACTAATTTTTCTCATTGTATTTCAGTTTTTGGCTTTGACCCTTACTACTGGATTTTGTGTATTAATTTAGTCATTTATTCCAATAATATTTGTGCAGATGGGTTCTGCACAAGTTGCTGGGCGACAGGTATATATTGAAGAGCGGAGACCGAACAGCAATATACCATCCCGAGGAGGAAGTACGCATTTTTTTCCTGTCATTATTATCAATGTTTATGAAATGGTCTGCATACACATACGCTAGATCTAGTTAGAGTAACAAAAGATGGTGACTTCTCAGGATTTAATGACTTTTATGGTTGCTTTTTGGTAATTTAATCCATTTACCATCTAACCCTCCTGCAAAATGCTTCTTTGGGTTCAGTGAGCAGTATCAGGTGTTTGAGAGAATTGAATTGCATACTTGTGAACCAATCCCATATTTCCTGATAGTTGCATCCTGAATAATGGGGGTACTTCCGAATTCCATTACACTGGAAATGAAACAACTATGATAATTGTTGTATTGGCATCAGAAAGTTTTAAATAGTCTCTTGATAACTACCATATAATCATGAATGACCAAAAGCTCTGTTTCTTACTGCGTTAAGATTTAGCTATTTAGAGGATCTATTTTCTTGTTTGTTTGTTGTGACAAGTATCTCTGAACAGGGAGAGGCAGAGGCCGGGGAAGCTACTCCACAGATGCCGCAAGGGGGCGTTTTGGCTCTCGAAGTTACGGTCGGGGAGTTGGTTATGATGGGGTTGATCGAGAGTACAATAGACCGAGAGGAAATGGTTTCTATAGACCGGGTTCCCGCCAAGACAGAGGATTCTCAGGTCACCAAGTATTAAGAAGTGGGCACAATTTATCAGATTAGACATTCTAGATTCAATAACAATGGGAAGGGAGATATAAAAAGTTTTGGGTCCAGCAGTGCATACATTCACCACCCTTGTTGGTTTCAGGAATCATATAGTGATACAAATCAGTTTAATTTAGATATGATGGCAATATTGTTTTGAAGGGGTTTAATGATACTTCTTTGTGATATTTCTAATTTAATAGGAAATGGTTTTTTAATTTTGAGCTCATTTATTCTAAGTGACTCCTATTAGTCATTTTCTGATTGATGGAACCTATTTATTTATTAATTTATGCAACTTTGTTCATTTTATGAAGGAAATAATGGTGCATTCAGTGACTCCAACTATATTTGCTTTTGCATAAGAGGTTGAGCTGAATGAGGATATCCATTACAATTACATCAATGGATTCATACACAGACTGTTTTAATGGTATGGTACTTTACTGGTAAATCAGCAAAACAGAAATCTCTAGTGAGAGAATCACAGGCATCAACTTTATTGAAACATAATATAATTGCCATGTATTTTCTACTTGGTGGGCTTTGATCCCTTATCTGTACTGTAATACGAGGCATTTGAGAAGAGCCTTAAGCTTCTGATTGCATGGTTTTAGCCTTTCAAGCTTAAGAATTAGCTGCTACCATGGCTCCTCCTTGGAGTGGTACCTGGAAGTGATCTTGTTGGTTTGAATCATCTTCCGTTTGCCAGAGAAAACTAGCATACGCTGCTAGAACATTACTGAAAACAAAGAAACAATAGGCCAAGAATCGGTCATGCTAAGCTTCAAAGCCAAAACATACATTTTATGTTCATGGTGATCTCCATACATGTACCTTATGGATTCTAAGTTCTTTACAAACTAAAACTTGTTATACAACAGATTGTCAAGAAATTGGGTACCAAATTTTCTTACTCTTGAATCTTGAATCCTCCAAGTTAATCAAATTGTGTGACTATTTCATTACTGAATAGGTTCTAGGTGAGGCTAATTCATAAGAGGTCCTGCATCAATATTCTAATTCTACGTGTGTCTGAAGAACCATTTCCTAAATGCAAATAAATATGAAACTTAAATGTAATACATTTAATTATGCAGACAATGAGATTATTGAAAAATCTTTACCAATCGGCTGGCGTAGCTTGAACTGCTTGCTCATAGTAAGCCAAAGCTTTATCATGGTCATGGTGAAGGTCCCATACCAATTTAGCATACTGTGACAGGATTTCACCATCTGCTGGATCTGCCAGAGCAGCGCGCGAATAGTACTCCTCTGCTTCTTGAAAGTCTCCTTTAGACTGTCAATCAAACAACAAAGTGATAATCAACAACATTGTATTAGAATTAGCAATTGAAAAAAAATATGAGCCCTGTTTGAAACAAATGAATTCCTGCTCAAGTTTTTTGATAACAGAATTGTTTGGGAATATAATGTTGGTAAAGTTGGATATCTCTATACTGTTGCTTGACAACAGATATCAGAGTTCTGAGACCAAACCTAAGCCATATAATCCTTGGCCATCCGGCTTTACAAACTTACACAAAAAAGAGAAACTATATGTTCATTAAGTTCTGAAGAGAGCTGACTGAAAACCTTTATACAGTTTCAACCAGTGACGCTTACTGCAATAACTTTTCAGTGTGCGAAGACACTTCATAAAACTAATACCAGCAGCAACTCTGATATATCCAGATTATTTGAACGCACCAGCCCAATCCTCAAGGCTTGGAGCAAATGTTTTATTTATAAAAATCTCAAAATCTTGACATTCAGTATCAATCTTTAACCAATAGAAAACAGTTGAGCAGTGAAGCATCAAAAGGAAACATTTCAGTTATCATTAGAAAGCTCAATTTCATTTGTTCCATAGGTCTGAATAGATTCTTGCATGAACATACATCTCACCTTACTCAAGAACTGTGCATAATCTCTGAGAACCGAAGGGTTGGAAGGATTTTCCTCAACCATTCTTCTGTAATACTCCTCAGTATTCTCAGAATTGGGGCCATCAATCCTGAGTCCCCTTGGCTCGTCGTCTTTTTCATGGACTGTGTTTTCAAGTTTATTGCGACCCTCCATTTCAATCTGAGAAATAAAATTAAGAAGCATCGCAACCTTTCCAATAATATTTTACAGAGTGACTCAAATAAGCATTCGTAATTCACTAAAGAATTGCTCCTTACCGGAAAAGGTAGTGACGCATTATGATCTTGTTGTGCTCCATCGTCTTCCTCGTCCTCCCCATTTTCCCAGAGGAAACTTGCATAAGCTCCAAGAATATTGCTGAGACGAAATAAAAAAAAAAAAAAAAAAAGGTTATATTTCAGAGATGTCAAAGATCAATAACAGAGCCAATCTCACTCTAGAAGTCAAACTAAATTGTATCAACAATAAAATCCAGCCTCTTTGAAGAGTAAAATTAGAGTGGCTTTTCTCAGGAGATAAATGCAAGTGAGCACTCACCTATCCTGAGGAGCAGCTTGAGCTGCACGTTCAAAGCAACTTGAGACTCTAGCGTGGTCACGGTGGAGCTCCCAGACCAATTTAGCATACGGCATCAAAGTTTCAGCATCTCCAGGGTCTGCTAATGTAGCGCGGTGATAGTAGTCTTCAGCGCCATGAAGGTGGCCCTTGTACTGTTAGTAACAGATATGATTGCATCATTAAGACTAAAACAAGAAAAGTTTTCGCTCAAACATTATTTAGAATTTGACCAAGCAGAGGACTCAGACATATGCTGAATCAGATTGCAGTTCCTTTACACAAGCTAAAATTTCATAATACATCAAGGAACTTTTAAGTTTTGATGACTTAAACTGAATTAGAATCACAAAAGCAGAAAGAGAATTAATCTAACCTGTAAGAGCTGAGCATAATTTCTTAAATACAAAGGGTGACAGGGGAACTCATCAACCATTCTCTCATAGTATTCGTCCATATTTCCACTCTCATCAAAAGTATTCATAGGAGGTAACTCAACAATTCCAACTCCATCAAACCAAGCTGCAACATCAATGCCGAGTCCCGAGGCGAGATACATGGGAGGACTAGGTGGTTCCATTTCTTCATCGAAGATCAAATCTTGATTAGTTACATTCACTCCTCCTTCAAAATCTTCTCCTTCTTCCACAATCAACCCCATGTTGTTTTTGTCCCCGAAAGTGAAGTCACCATTAGCTAAATCGTCTATGTAATCTCCAATCGTAACAGTTCTCACCAATAGCTCTTCACTCTGAACATCTTGTTGGCCATTTTTTTTTCCATCTTCAACCCCATCAAACGTATTAAATATACGAAAAGATGGTGCACTCCTCAACATTGAGTAAGTGAAATATTGTTTACGCAAAGATTTCTTCTGGGTAGTCGAATTCTGGAACTCTTCAGAATTGTAAGCTATTAATCCTTCTAAGTTTCCTTCAGAAAGAGCTTTCGTTAGGCCTTGAAGGCCGAAATCCGTTTCTTGATGGGATTCAGAGAAAGCAGAAGGTGAGTAAGAGCCTGGATATGAACTGTCAGCCAACGTTGTCAAGTTGTGATTAGGCGAACCATGAAACGGAACATGTTTGGTGTTGTCACCGTCTATACTAATCGGACTGTCTCCGAATGCCAACAGAGGCAAAGGGTTTTCTTTTTCTTTTACTCGGAAGAATGACAACAGAGGGTTTTCTTTCACTGGGAGGAATGCCAACTTAGGGTCATCTATTACTGCTACTGGGGTTGATAAACTTCCCCGATGCATGACGTGCAATCTAGATAAGCTATAGCTTTTAATGCAAAGTTTTTAGTGGTCGCTTATTTGCTGTCAATCAAGAAGTCAAATATTAATAAAATAAATCAAGTTACACCCTTATCTACAAAGTTTGATCTCGCAAATATACTTTCATGTGTATATATGTATATATTAATGGTAGATGCTGGATGCAATTGGGTTGGCAACAGGGCTCTCAAATTCTGTCGGTGGAGCGGAATGGGCAGTGCATTACTAGTTACTCTTAATAGGTTTATAACAATTTCCTCCTCAAAGTTTGAGAAAGTAATAAACACATTCCAATTCACAAGGTAACGAATACGCTTAAGAATAATATTACTTTACCATATAAAGGACTGTAATATATTTTGTTAAATTATATATCCCAAATTTAATTAAATTAAATATTAAAAATAATAAAAAAAATGGGAGAATGAAGTATAATGAGAAAAAAAATAATACTAAAATCTTTTCTAAACAAAATTTCTCAATTCTTTCTAGTTTTTTATTTTTTCAATTTTAATATATTTAAAAAAAAAATTGCAAATAATATATATTTACACAAATGGTATTATGGTCTTTAATAATATTTGGGTGTATTTGTTACTTTCTAAAAATTTTGGGTGTATTTGTTATTTTTCTCGTACCTTGAGGAAGAAGTTGTTGTAAAGGAGTTGATAACAAGTAATACGTGATTCTCCCCTTCAAATAAACAGAGAATCTCTTGAACCCCGTGAACGTGAAAGTTACACTAAACCTAAGGCCAAAAAGGAAGTGGGCGAATATCAGAAAGATCAAATCAAATGAATGAAATGACGCAGTTTCTTTTGATCCCAACACCTAGTTTATGCTGCAGTTTTTGGTCCCCAAAGAGGATGAAAACTTATCTAGTTTCTCTAATTTACAGGAACAAGACTCATTGTTTCCAACATATAAAAATCCCACGTAAATATGAAGGACCATCTTATGAAGCAAATAAATATATGCATAAATATGCATGGCAAGAAGTACTCTTCATCCTTGAAGAAAATGAGATTCTTACCTCTCCTGCCCTTTAAGAATACTGGTAAATCAAATTCCTGGACAAGTAGGTTTTGTGTTAAAGAGGTTATTAATATGTGTTAGAAACAAGGTAGAAAGAAGGATAGGGATGTGGTTTGGTTTCTGAATTTTTTCGAGTTTCGTAATTGTAATGCTTTTGATTTGTTCTTTCATTGGGTTTATGAACAAGGAGGCGCCACGTGTTTTTTCAACTGCTTAGGTGTCAGTGCCATCGTGATCTTCTTTCCTCTCATCTAATTTTCCTCTCCTCTGTTCATTTCTCCTTTCTCGGGTCAAAGTCTCCGTTACCAAATTTAGACACCGAAACCGAATTTGGGAATTAAAGAATTACCCTTCTCTCCCTCTAGAAAAATAAATATGGATCAACAAAGGAATCTAATGGTATTTACATTTTTTATATGGATGAAACTAAAATAGCATCATTGAGTGACCTGATTGTAAAAGAACAAAAAAATGTTATATGAATTCTTGAGTTCAAATCCCTCCAGACACTAATAATGATAATCACTTGAATTTTTATCTGGTTAGCATCAACAGTTCCATGCCTTGAGAGATTAATTAAGGTATGTGTAAATTAGTTTGGACACCTCAGAGATTAAAAAAAAAATGAAACTAAAATCGTAAGTTCAAAATTATTTTAATGAGTTGATCTTAAAAATTTAGTGACATAGCTATGCGATATATATATTATTTTATTTAGTTATTTGAAATTCTTTTGATACATATATATTATCAATAATATGTTATTAAGTGTTTCCATTCATTTTTTTTATTAATGAATAATGAATAATAACATTTCACAATTGAGAGTGTATGCATGGAACATGCGCTCACCATCGAGCATTTGCTACTTCCTTATCATAAGATTCAATGTACATCACATTTCCTCTTGCTCTTTATTATTGTTAATAGAGATATAACTTTGAAATAAAAAATTATATAAATTTGATTGTTCCTTTATGTTTGAATGAAAATACACTACCATTAATACGTTTTATTAAATGCTTCAAGCAATACTTAACAAATTTTTTGGATTAAAATTTTTCTACAAGTTCTTTCTGGGATTACAAGTATTTTTTTTTTTTCTCTCTCTCAATGCTTGAAGTAATTTTTAAACGCATTTTTCAATTTTATTCCTGCAAACTTTTCTTAATGCTTCAAATAATTTTGTAAAATTCTTGGGATTAGATTTTGAAAGTATGGTAGACATTGTTAAACTGATAATTCACCCTCTCTCATTGCATAATAGTGTAATGCATAGGAAATTAACTCGAAAAGCAATAATACTACACTTACACTACTCTCTTACATCAATCCCTTACATCATGATGTGGCAGCATGACGTGGCGATTGCCAACTCATCTGCCACGTCATTTCCACTAATTTTTTTATTTTTGCTAAATCCTGAGTTTTGAAATAAAAATTTCCCCTAAAACAAACCGTAAATAAATTCCAAAATCCCTAAAATACAAACCCTACAAATTTATTCCCAAATTTCCTTTCAATCTTGAAAACCTTAGCCATCACCTTCTCTAATCACAGCCTGATCAGGTTGCTATCGTCTACCATCCCAAATAGGTTTCACTTCATCTGATCCTCTTCCTCCACCATTGCCAATCTCAACCACACCCTTGTAGATCTCGACCTTAAACCGTAGTGCGTTAGTCAACCTTTGCACCACGACAATGACCAATGCCAGCCGACCTCTACACCACCATCAGCACCAACCTCATCCGCCACCACAGTCACCAGGAAAGGTATGTACATATTTTACCTTAGATCTTGACAATGTCGGGGAAAAGTTATTCTGTTTTGATATTTATTTATTTAATTTCCAAAGTTGTTAATTCCAAAAAAAATGTTTTCCAACTTCAGTGTCAATTATGCCACACCTTTTGAACAAAAAAGTTGTACCCCATGGAAGCTAAATAAATAAATATCAAAACAGAGTAACAACTTTCCTTTACATTGTTAAGATCCAAGGTAAAATATGTGCAGACCTTTCCTAGTGTGATTCTAGTGGCGGATGAAGTTGGTGCTGATGGTGGTGCAGAGGTCGACTGGCACTGGTGGTGGTGGTGGTGTGGAGGTCAACTAACGCACGACCGTTTAAGGACGAGATCAGAGGGGTGCGCCTGAGATTGGCAGTGGAGGTGGAGGAAGATCGGCTGAAGTAAAACCCATTTGGGATGGTGGATAGTGGCGACCTAGTTGGGCTGTGATTGGAAAATGTGGTGGCTAGTATTTTCAAGATTGAAAGGAAATTTGGGCAAAAATTTTTAGGGTTTGTATTTTGAGTATTTTGCAATTGATTTAGGGTTTGTTTTGGGGGAAAATTTTATTTCAAAATTAGAGATTTTACAATTTTTTTTTTTTTTTAAATTTTGGGGGGAAATGAGGTGGAAAATGAGTTGGCAACTGCCTCGTCGGCTGCCACATCATGATGTAAGGGAGTGGGGTAAGTGTAGTATTATTTTTTCATGTATGTTTGTAAATTCTTCAACTAAAATCACCTATCAAGCAAGTAGTAGTTTCATGAAAAAAGGTATATATATGGTGTTACCATATTTCCGGTGGCACCAATTTAACTGAAATGTAAAAATTAATTAAAACTCAAATCTCTTCCCAAAACAACCCTTCTTTATTTAGCCACCTAGAACATTATCTATCACATTGTCTTTGATGACTGGGAGTGGCCTTGATTCCTCTAAGCTGCCAGGATTCCTTGGAGCCCTTCTCCTATTTGTAGAGTAACTTTTTGAAATTTCAACTTCACATATAATACAATATCGAACCCGAAAAGTTAATAAATCTCGCTGATAAAATGATAGAGATGTCAAATTGTTGTTTCATCACATAGTCCCAGTTAATAGAAATATTAAATTATGTCGTGCATATTTTGTGCACATCTTATATAATTAGTTTTGTGTTGCAATAAAAAAAGAACTATATTAGTTGATACATTTTTTTTATATACTTGACGAATTGTATAGGTATTAACACAAATGAATTCATTAGATTGGTAGATGGTAGATTGCAAACATTAAAGACAAACAATAGAAGTACATAGGTTAGACGTAGGAAAACTTGTTGAGTGCACCTTAAATATCTGAAAAAGCTTTGAGATAAAATTAAATAAAAGTTACTTTAGTATTTTATTATTTTTATTTTTATTTTAAAGAATATTTAGATGAATTACATTCGTGTGCATATTTGAACCCGACATAAATATTAATTAATGAAATATAAATACTTAATAATAATAATAATAATTATTATTATTATAATTATTATGTTTCCTTCATATCAGAAGATATTATTAAAAAAAAAAAATTAGATAATAAAATATTGTTTGCCGAATCACTTGATTAAAAGCCAGACAAAAAAAATTATATAATCCTACGTTAAGTGGGAATAGGAATGAGATTAGGATTTTGGGTCTATATAAAGGAGGTCAAATTATAGTGATCATCCCAAAACTTATTTACTCTTATGCTTCTATTGTAAATGGTTCTCACCCTATAGTTTAGAGTTTCTTTTGTATTCCCTTTATTTTGGATATTTATAGTATTTCTCAAAAGTTTGTAATATTCTTCAAAGAATAGTGGAGTTTTTCTGTAGTGCCGAGGACGTAGGTAACAATACCGAACCTCGTTAAATTCTTGGTGTTATTTATTTTTGCATTTATTGCGGCAATTTATTTTTGCTCTAGTAATTGTTATTATTATATTTCAATAGCTAGTGTTGGAGTTTGTGCTTGTTGAGATTTCTAGAATATTTTGTAATCCTATTTTTGTTTGTCTTTGGATACTCATGATATTATGTAATCTTCTAATTATGTCAGTATATTGTGTAATCTGAAACTGACATAATTAGGATATTCAATGGATTGTATTTTACCTATATAAAGACTGTAACTATGTATTGAAAATCAATGAATTGAAACCCACAATTCTTCAATTAAACATCGTATTAGAGCAAGGTTTTCTGATCTGAATAATTGTTCTTTATAGAGCAACCGTCGAAAAATACACCGGCGTGTAATCATCCCTCCAGTCATCAATCTGAGAAGGAGAAAACGACTACAACCCAAACACCAAATCTAATCAAACACAACCACCATCTTTAGCTGCTGCAAACAACAAAAATACCCAGATTTTTTTTTTTCACTCTCAATAGTCGTCAACTCCAGCCGCACATTACCAAGCAACCCATAACAAATCCGCTCGAAGCAACTCACATTACCAAGTCACCCAATCTATGCCATCAAACCCATACCATCAAGCGACTCATGCCAACCAAGCAACCTGCACAATCCAAACACCAACAAATCAAAACCCAACCAACCATTCTACAATATTCTTTTCCCAGCCAATAAGTTTCAACAACAAACAAAAAATATCCCCAACCATTGCGCAAATTTTTTCCAGCCAACAAGTTCCCACAACAGAAACAAATTACCCATATCCCAAAATCACACCGACGACGACGATCAAATCACCAAGGCAAGAAGATCCAAGCAAAGAACAACAAATCGTTGCCGATGAGCCCATCAATCTGCTGCTTCTGAAGCCGACGACACCAAACCAAAGTTCCACACCAACTCTGATATGTCGCCGATGACTCTGATCTGCCGTTGCTATATAGTCGTGAATCATCGCCTTTCCTTGGTCCAAAGAAAGTTTGTTGTGTTTGTTTACCTTTGCTTTAACTTTTTTGGTTTTATTTATTCTTTATTCTCAAGTTATATTAACAAACAAACAAAAGAAAAAAAAGGTCCAAGAAGTCAAAAGTAGAAAAAAAAAAGTCAAAAAGGATGTAAAAGAAAAGGGGGTCAAAAAAAAAAAAAAAAAAGGTCCAAAAAAAAAATGTTGTGTGAGGAATTCTACGAAAAAACCCTGTCTTAATTTCGCTGAACTTCAGGAATGGTAGCTTAAAATGGAGTTTCATCACTAGATGAAACCCAACAAGCCCAACAACAACAAGAAGAAAAGTTATTGCTACTGTTGTGGAAAAGAAAAAATGCCAAATAGTGTCATCATTTGTAGCCACTGTTGGAAATGATGGTAAGTCTTTACATATGTGA